GGTGCGTCTTTTCCTTTCCAGAATGGCAGAATAACCCTTTGCAAGTTGCTATAGAAGTCAAAAGACATAAGAGGCTAATGAAATTGTTTTATAAGCAGACCCACGAGGTGAGGTAAAGGACACTTGGTTGGTTATGAGTCTCATGTATATGGGTTGGAGCACCCCTTGTGCTCCTTAAAATAATATCAATTTATTTGCTGATCAAAAAAAAATATATATATATAATTACTTGTATTTTTATTATAATTAATTATACTTTGTGTCGATTGTTTGAGCTAAGGACTTAAATTTTTTACGTCAAATCATCTTAATTTTTTGTCAGCTTTCCCAAATTCATTTTTTCGGAGGAGCTTCAACCAAAGATCACGCTATTTAGAACGGTTAGCTTCGGTCCAGTGGTGTTGGATCCTGAATTAAGATTGTTTATTTTTGTGGGTTGCATATTTAAGTTTCACGAAACCTTTTTGTTCTTCCCTTAATTAATCTCATAAATAATTATAAATTGTTTAAAAAAAATATAACGCTATTTGTCTAAACCAAAACACGAGGAAAATCAAGTTACCTACCACCAACATACCAAGTACTACTACTTCCGTTATTTATATATGATTATAATTAACTTCTTATGCCAAATTATCTTACTTTAACTAAATTAATCTTGTTTCCAATTTTACCCATGTTCTTACATTTGTGTAAAGCTTTTACGCTGTAATTATTAGTATCCATTTTACAATAACATTGAACGTCATCGTAAATGTATTTAGTTACTATATCTCCTATTTTGGCCAGTCAATAAAGGGATGTTTAGTTTCATATCTCAATGACTTCAATTACACTAATGAACGCACAAGACCGAGTTGATTAGTCTTGAGTAAAAAGAGAAAAAAATATATGCTCGATGTTCATTTAAAAAATGATTGCTTTCTTCTCATGAAAAGCATTACAACGAAATCATAATTTTTTTTTCGTAAATATTGATATTAATTATTAAAGATAAAAGGGGAAAGTTGATGTTATCCACTCCTTAATGTGTGATTTTTAATTAAATTGATAAATAAATAAAGATAAGAGGGAGTAACTTAATTTGTTGGAAGTGCCAAGTGGATTTCATTTTATAAAAGGAAAAGAAAAAAAGAGAACTGTTTTTCATTTATAAACTTTTATTAAAAATTAAATGATTTCTATTTTGATTTGATCCCATTCCAAAAAGATGTCTAAACATTTTAGAACATGTGAATTGCAGAGTTCATTTGGAAATGAAGTGGATTGATATCATTCAAGATCATGATTCCATAAACATGGACTTTTCCAATTCCCATCACCAAAGAAAGTGGTACACAGGCAGTGTGTAATAATATGCTTTCAAAAGAAGTAGCACAGTGTGAATTTCATCAGCTTGGGACCAGAAAAGCAGCCATTGACACAGAAGACTCTTCAAGTTCGTCCAACAAGAGCATTGGAGCAACAAAAACCACCGGCGCTAGTGGATTTGGTTGTGGAAGAACTCCAGAGGTATCGAAGGAGGGCAATGTTTCTCCGCAACACATTTGTACTGAGGCAAAAATAATTTTCTCTAATTAGAATATTTGCATGATAACACAGACTCTTGTTTGATGCTATGCTCATAACAACAATCTTAACAATCCTCTAAAATTGTTATTACTTGCTATTTAGGACAGCAGCAATAATAATTCATAGCAAACTATCCCTTCCAATTCTGTAATAAAGATAAGAACTTTCTACGTTGAAATGAGTCATAGTTATATAGGGAGCATCGAGCATGCATGTGAGACACAGAAAGAGTGAGGAGAGATGGAACAATGCTAGCAATTTTGTTTACCTTATGCTGACTGTATTTCCCTCTGATCGCAGGTAAAGTAGAATCAAGATTGTTACAGCAAAGGCGGTGAAGATCTTTGACACAGTCTATCAAATCAGAGGGCGTGTAAAGCGTGTAATGATGTAATGTCGAATTCTGAAGAAGAAGAAAAATGGAGATCATGACAAGATAAACATAAAGAAATAGGATTTATATACTGCAGTTGCCTATATCCCGATATACATTATTGTTATTTACACACATACCCATGGTCTCCTTGAAGGAAGAAGTATAAATTTGGCCAAGAAAATCGCAGAAGCTGCAATAAGCGATGGAGCATAGCAAAGCATACTGTACTCAAGGAGAGATAGTTCAGCAATGTAGTTGGCCAAGCACTCCAACTGCATTGATGGAACCTAAGTAAAATACAGACAGAACAGAACCAAAGGAGATGAGAAAATTGCATTTCAGATCACAGAAGAAAGATGCAGATTGGAGCCACAATACGAATGCTCAAGTCTAGATAAAATACCTCATTAATCTCCTGAGCAGCAGCACGAACAAATCGTCTGGATGTCATGTTAATTCAGAAGTGAATACAGGAATACCATGGATTGTTAAAAAGAAAAAAATGCATATTCAATAAAGGGATGCCCTTGTTATTACCGTAAGAAACATTTAACTGTTGGAACTGTCATTTCAAACTTCAAGTAATTCAAAACAGCAGATTCCATTTCCAGAACCTGCAGCAAATCAGACGCTTAATGCTCATTCAGGTTGGTAAAGTAGGAGTAATTTATATGGCAGCATCTCAGAATTTCAATTGAAGGATGAGACTAGAGAGAGAACAAACCTCCTCCTTGGAATATGTGTTTTCAGTTACGTAGCAAAACTCCTCCACTTGCGACGCACAAATCTTCTCATATTTTCTGGAAATATGTAAACTTAGTTGTTAATACAGTATGCATGGGAAAAATCAATTGGATATTTTATGAAGACAGAAAATAGTGGGCAAGGATGTATTCTTACGCAGCAATCATCATGCAGGCAACTCCAAGCAACTGTAGCCGTTGCCTATTTATAACATTCCCAGAAAGATACCTATCTATGTAGTTCACTGTCAAATATAGAGTATCTGGTACAAGCCTATATTCTTCAGCCACCTGTAGTTTGGAAAAAAAAAATCAGCTTTAATTTCATGAAGGGTTGTAACTATGAAGGATGGTACTGCCAATAAAGTCTCTGATGATTGTTGTTCTTACAGCAAAAATTGTCAAAACTTCTATATGACATTCAGAATGTGATTAACAGACATAAAATTTACCTTTACAAGCCAATCAATCAGTATTGCCCGCATGTTAGTATTTATGTCTTTCTGAATTGTCTCCATGAAGTCTATGGAAGGCCTCTTTTTTACCTGCAATCCAGAGAAATGAGAAGGTAAAGAAGCTGATTTTAAACACGGATTACAGTTCGACATTAAAGAAGAGGGAAAACCTCAGATGCTCGCAGATGCTTGTAAATATCACATGCAAATGTTGCACAGAGCTGTGGATCCATGTAATTATTATCAAGATTAACAACTTCATCATCCACTTCCATCTCTGCAAGTACATCTCTATTGCAGATATTTCCTACAACAAATCAGTAGAAAACTGGATTTATATAACAAGCAAAACAAAATGAAGTAAAATTCAACCTAATAACACAAATAAACAAAAAGATAAATGTAACTAACAAACCAGTTGTTTCTGAAAGGTCTGAAGTGCACAGATGGCTGAATGTCTTTCTTTCAAAGGAATCAATTGCTGGAACATCATTGCTGTCAAGATACTTAGCTTGGGGACTTTTGAAAGTTGGAGAAATATCCATGTTGTGGGTGGCAGGAATGCTAGCAATACTACTAGTTGTGATTTCATATTTTCATCATCTCTTAAAGAGGGAGAGGTGGGTCCCACGAGCTGACACTAGCGGGGGAAAATGATACGCGTCGCTCCACCATGTCACCCTTGGCGTATTGTTTGCGTCTCCTATCCTCTCAACGCCTGACAATGTCATTTTCGGCGTACTGTTTCCACGTTAGGGAAGCCTCGTTTGTTTTTTTGTTTGGTAGAAATAGGGTAGCCTCGTTGGAACCTCCTAACGCTTGACAATGTGACTCTTGGCGTATTGTTTCCACGTTAGGGTAGCCTCCTTTGGACCCACCTCCATTCTGAAAATATTAATTAAAAATCAACTACTGGTCACACGGAAACCTAAGTAGTAAATGTAACCTTTTTCTGTTCAAAAAAAAAAAAAAAAAAACAAAACACGGAAATCTAAGTAGGGACTTAGGGTTACCAGCCAGTCAGCCACCCCAATCCAAACCCTATCTTGAAAATGAAAGAGTTATTGTTGCAATCGTTTAATCCATGTGCACAACGAGAAGACAAAATAGGGTTTGCAAGTGGTCATCAAAATTTTGTCCACACATTAAATTGTTATGGTAATAGAAGTAATATAGTAGTCAATGTAAAAAATTAAAGGATTTTTTAAATCTATATTTTTAAAATATGCATATTTTTATCATAAATTTATATAAAAAAATGTAAAAATTAATACTAATTTTAGAATTATTATTACGTGAATAAATTTAATTAAGTGATTGATAAATGAAATATTAATAAACATGAAATTATAATAAACATGGCCATTTGCGAAGGAATACTAGAAGCACATTTTTAAAGATGAATACTATGTTGACCACAATTTATATGAGAGTTAGTAATATGTACCAACAAACTTGATGTGGTTTGTCAACTTTGTGATACAAGACTTATATCTAATATAAAATTAATTAGAAATAGATAAAATAATATTTCTTGTATTTAAGTCATATATTTATTTCTATATTTTAATGGCCATGTTTATTGCAATTTGACAAACCACATAAGCTTTAATGGCACTAGCTTTAGTTTTAATGCTTCTTGGAATTTCCTACATTCAACTTAAAATTAGCTCTTGGCTTGTTGTCAATATTAGTTTGAATAAAACCTTTCCCTCTAGAGTTGAACCAATTTTGGTAATTTCCTTTCTTTTTGTAATAATTTCTTTGTTCAGTCTTTGGGGTTAGGAAGGCCATTTGTGGATAAGTAAAGGGTTATGATGATGATTACGGGAATCATGGCTTTTTACAAGAAGAATAAGTTCTTTTGTATGATGGAATAGGTGGTTTAAGCATGGTTGTGGCAAAATTTTCATAACTTGTCCTAAACATTGCGAAAACCGAAAAAGCTTTGATTTTATCAAGAATGATCTTACCATGTGTGGAGAGTTCCTTTTCCTCCATTGTATAATTGCTTCAACAATTTGGATAAAATGCATTCAATGGTGGTGTCTAAGCACTGTACTTGCTGGAACATGTAGGGATTCTTTTATGCAGCATGAAGATATGGTATCCAAAGCAAATAACCGACTGGGCTGGGTTGCTGTTTGGTACTCTTTGGTATGGACAGCTTGGAATACTAGGAATGAGGTAGTATTCAAAGGGGGCCATGCGAATGTGGATTGGATGTTTGATCAAATACAAGTGAGGTCTTTTTTGTGGATAAAAAATATAGGGAAAGGAGGAAGTTTTACTTTTTCGGATTGGATTCTAAATCCCAACGGTTGTAAAATCTCTTAAAGGACCATACAATATGCCATCAATTGGCAAGGCAATGTTTGAGTCAGAGTATGCTTTTTTGATGTAAATGGGTTTGAGTATCCCTTATACTAAAAAATATAATCTTTTTTGCCTTTAGAAAAAAAAATGTGTGGAGAGTTCATCACAAAGGGCTTTGAACTTTTTGATGTACTCACTTAGAGTGTCATCACCTTTTGGATACTTGAAATCTCTTGCATTAAGTGAAATTCTCTTTCTTGAGAGCTTTGAACAAAATGGCCCTCCAATGCGGCAATGTCTTCCAAACTTATGATGAAGTCTCGAGTCCAACAACAATTCTGAGTACCTCTTTAGATAAGGTACTGGTAATCCACCCGCAAAGAAGACAAATCAAACTATCTCCAAGTTGCATAAGTTGGATTTGGTACTTCCTTCTCATTTGTAAGTACCTTTGGATTAGGCAATACTCACCATCAATAAACCTAATAGCTCTTGACTTTCAATTAGAGCCATCATTTGAGTTCTCTAGAGTAGATAATTATCTGAAGTGAGTTGGAGAGAAACAAAATTGGCTACATTTAGTGTGGCCGGATAGGGGTAGGTTTTTGAGGATGTTGTTGTTTGCTAGCATTCCTGCCCAGCGCAGCATGGATATTTCTTCAACTGATTCTTTCAAAAGCCCCCAAGTTAAGTATCTCGACAGCAATGATGTTCCAGCAATTGATTCCTTTGAAAAAAAGACATTCAGCAATCTTTGCACTTCATTTTGTTTTGCCTGTTATATAAATTCAGTTTTCTATTGATTTGTTGCAGGAAATATCTGCAATAGAGATGTACTTGCAGAGATGGAAGTGGATGATGAAGTTGTTAATCTTGATAATAATTACATGGATCCACAGCTCCGTGCAACATTTTCTTGTGATATTTACAAGCATCTGCGAGCATCTGAGGTTTTCCCTCTTCTTTAATGTCGACGTGTAACCCCATGTTTTAAAATAATATAGCTTCTTTACCTTCTCATTTCTCTTGGCTGCAGGTAAAAAAGAGGCCTTCCACAGACTTCATGGAGACAATTCAGAGAGACGTAAATACCAACATGCGGGCAATACGTACCGGTCGATTGGCTTGTAGCCGTTATTAATTATGTCTGTGAATCACATTCTGAATGCCATGTAGAAGTTTTGACCATTTTTGCTGTACAAATAACAATCATCAGAGACTTTGTTGGCTGTACCATCCTTCATAGTTACAATCCTTCATGAAATTAAAGCTGAAATTTTAAGACTAGCATTAGTGGCGGTTGTTGAATTCGCATTCCTAACCCGAGCTCCAAAACACAGTATATATATTCTTCATTGCTTCTTTTGAAACGTAGATAATCATTTGGTATCACTGGAAAAAAAAAAAAAATTATTGAAACAAAAAGGAAGGAAAAACCTCAAAATAAATTGAAAATAAAATTTGAAAACTTGAAACTGACGCTGGCAGCTGTTTAAGTTTTCAATTCTTAAAAAATAATAGTAATAATGATAAAAATCATCATTACCATTTTTGCATTCTTTACTGTTTAATAAGTTTTGAAAGATCATTTAGTAACTATTTACTAATTAAAAGAATAGAAATCTTTACTGAAATAAAATTCTAATGAAAAGGTACATAATGGAATAAACAGTTAAAAGATTTTCAAAGTATATGTGGAAGAAAGCAGGTATATATAACTTTCATAATACAAACAATATCATTCGAAATCATTTTAATGTGTGTATAGATAACGGTTTATTTATCTTATATTTTAATGGTATAAAATAAAAAGTAATTATTGATTAATAATAATTATTTTTTACTTTAAAGATAATTAAGTTAATTTTTATTTTAATTGTAAATGACATGTATTAACTTTCTATTAGTTTATTTTAAATTACAAAATAAAATTTTATATTTAAAAAAAACACCACCATAATTATTACTTAATTATTATAGATAAACCCCATAAATAAATATTTTCATCATTAAAATATTTTGAAATCTATAAATATGTAATAAAAATCCAAATACTCCGTGTTTGCTCGCGGAATTCACGCGGAGAATCGGCCACGTGGCTCGCTTCACACATGGACTCGTGTTCTAGGCTAGCCGTCAAGCGTGTGATTGTCGTCTTATAATTCTCGTACTGTATTACACACGTGTGTCATATTACTGAATGTGAAGTTTCCCGATGAGACGTATCATATCATGGATGCACCATTGTTGCTTGCAAGTGGATCAGTGTAAAATAGTCACTACCCTTTTTTTAATGGTTAGATGTCTAAGTCAAAATAAGTTGTATATATTTTGAGATTAATTTATTATAATTTAATATTATTTATGTTAAAATTAAAAATTTTATTAAAAATTTTATTTTTTATTACTTTCTATATGTAATTGAACTTTATTTAATAACGTAAAAAATAAATTTTCTTATCAACTAATTATTACTCTTTAAATATAAAGTTGAGATTATTTTTTTTTTTTTTGAAAACCCCCATGTGGCCCAAGTGGCCACGTTACTCTTAGGCAGCAGGTGGTCCTCACTCTCTTCACAAGTTCGAGCTTCACCTCTACAGATACTAACCATGTAACTAACCAATTTCTACTGTTAAAAAAAAATTGAGATTAGTTTTTTGTAAGAAATTACAGTGATATTGTTATTTTTCTAAAAGTTGAGCGTTTAATGACTTAAGGTTTAAAAGGTATTTAAATTAATTGTTTAAATATAATTGATAATAAATAGTATAAGTTTATATCTAATTAACAATTATTATTATTTATAATTTAAAATATTCAATTTTGTTGATATTCCGGTTTCCTAATTTTAGAAAACAGCAATAATTAACAAACAGTACCGCATGTTGTAATGTTGTGGCTGCTAGGTGCGTGTGGGCAAGAGAATTGATGGCTAAAGATTGATTCCCTGATGCGAGAAAAATATTCCTTTGGTTTTGGATTATATCTTGCAGTGATATGCGGCTTTTTCTCGGGAGAAAGAGACCTACCTATGCCCTACTTAAGCCTCTGCTTTTCTTTGGTGTCGGTTTGTTGGGTTATCAAATCCGTTCCTCTCTGCATATGCACCCAAAAAAAGAAGAGGGAAATGTCTGGGATAATGGGTTAGGGTATTGTTAAACCGAAAAAGATAGTTCAGACCACTAATCTTTGCGTCTTAAGGAAGGTAAGAGGTAGGCAATATGAAAATTAGACGTGTATTGAAGCACAAGATGAAATATTTTAACTTAAAATCAATTAATAATAAATAAAACAATTACCTTAAAAACAAGTGCTGCTCGATATTTATTTATTAAGTATTGGGAGAATCGAAATTAACTTAAAATGAATCATTAATAAATAAAATAATTTTACCCATGAGTGGGTGAATGAATTGGTTGGAACTCTTCCAACTTAACCAGAGTGAGTGAATGAGTTGGTTGAAACTCTCACAGCTTAACCAGAGGTCTTGAGTTCAAATTCTGAGAATGCGGCTCCGTTAAAACTCATGAGGGAGAGTTTTGCCACCCATAGGGTCTTGCCCGGCTCGAATCTGGATTAGTCAGTGACTCAATGAGTTTCTGGATACCAGATGGTGATACCAAAAAAATAATAATAATAATAATTTTTTATATATAAATTATATATTTGTATTATACTTAATAAATAAATACCGACACCAAAGAACAACAACAGCCAACAGGAAGCAGATCTATGCCTGGAAAGCAAATTCCATAGTTTTAACTAAAAAGATCAATTATCATTGAACATGAAATTATTACATGGAAAAACCAAAAAAAAAAAAAAAAGTAGAGGAGAAAGAGGAACAAAATGAGAAAACCCATGGGCTGGAAGCCTGTAACATTAAACAAGGGAAAAGGAAAACGAAAAAAAACCGCCATTCCCCTGCAAAACGACAGAGATCCAAATGTTGAAAGAGAAAAACAAACAGGTGGGTTCCCCTTCTACGCTTTCAGCCGGCTATTTTGACTACTTTTTGGGTAAAGATTTGGGATTTCTTGGTTACTTGCAATTCTGCAAGTGGTAAAAAGAACAGTGATGTTAAGGGCCAAAGCCATAGAGGGGTCAGGGGAGGGAGGATGAGATTATGAGGTGGTGGGAAGAATTGCATTAATGGCGGGTTGGTCCCGCTTTTTGATCACAACGTTTTTATATCATCTCCCTGCAGCGCTGTCTCTCTATAGCTACCGAGTCATGTCATGAAGATAATCCTTGCCCAGAACTACTACTGCCATCACTCTTAGCCGTTGGATCTGGAAAACAAAAATCGCTTTTCTTAATTCACAATTAATTAGTATAGCTTTAGCTGCAGAGCTATTGGCTTAGCTTAGTTTAACAGCTCAGCTTTGAATTCGAGATGATTTTTTCCCTTTTTTTCCCCGATCGATTTGCTTTGATTCTCAACATCAAGTCGAGGCTATTTTTTACTGAAACATCAACAACGTGGTGGTGTCTTTCAAATCAGGAAAAAACACTGCATTTACCGGTTTTGGATGGACCCATGGAGATTCTTGTGATTTGTCAATAATTTACAATTTCCTGAAAAGTAAAGAAGGTAGACTCTTTAATTATCTAGTGCGTGTTTGGATTAATTATTTAAATATAAATTAATATTTAATTATTTGTAATTATTACTATTTAAAATAAAAAGCATTTAATTTATTCTATCAATATAGTTGCTTATAAAACTCTAAAATAAATAGTCTCTTAATCTTTAAATCTTAGTTACATGTTAAATTTAGTCATTCATTTTTAATTTCGAATAATTTTAATTTTTTAATTTTTTTTCTCATAACTATAAAAAATATATTTTTTAATCATTCTATTATTTTGTTTGTTATTTCTGTACATCTAGTATTTTTTTAGTCATTAAACTTTTATTTTATGCCTATTTAAATCATTAAAATAAATTAAAAGTATCAACTATACAGACTTAATAAATAAAAATTATTGAAGGAAAAAAAAAGGGTGTATCATTTATAATTGAGAGATGAAAAAATGTAAAAAATAATTTAAAACTAAAATTATTTCTAACTAAAAATTAAAAAAAAAAAAAACTAAATTTGATGCCTAACCTTAAATCTTTAATATGAGTTAAATTTGACAAATAGTCTACTAACTATATTTATTTTATACCTATTTTATCTATTAATTATTTTTATACTTAAATAGTCTATTAACTTTGAAAAATAAGTTAAACCTCTAATTTGATTTCTCAACTATTATATGGGTTTACAAATTGATCTAAATTAAAAAAATTCTTAATTTGGTTCTTAAAGTTTTAAATTTTGGTTCTAAGTTGGCCTTTCTATTAAAAAACAACTAATATATTTATTATTTAACGAACATGTCATGTTGATAATGAGACACGTTAATTATTTTTGAACAAAGAGACCAACTTGGAATCAAATTTAAAAATTTTAAAGATCAAATCAAAGACTTTTTTATTTTAAAAACCAACTTAGAGGCCCATATAGTAGTTAAAGAACCAAATTAAAGTTTAACTTTAAAAATATATCACATTGGTCTACTTGTTAGAATTTTGTCATCGGAGCTAACGGAAATCTACGTTGGCACCTATTTGGCACCAAATAAGCTGCTAGCTAGGTGCCACATGGCCTACAATAATGTACACTCTTAATTCATTCAAATAAATCTTTTAAACTTGTCAAACTTGAACAATTCAAAATTTAATTACATGGTTTGTTGAATGATTTAAAACATAATTTATAAAAGCTTATACGTTAATTCTAGTTATTTTTGAAATCTAATTACTTAAATTATAAAAGGCCATATATGTGAGGTTCAAATGTAAATGTTCAACTTTTAGAGACTAAGTGGAACAAAGTTGCATCTTCTCCGTCTTTGGGAAAAAATAATACTGGTTGGTAGTACACGTTCTCTGCATGTCTTAATTTAAAAAAGGCATGATGTTTCATGTCTACTTACTACACTACTTACTAGTTGGCAAATACAATTTTGAATTTTTAAAATATTTTTGAAGGAAATTATTTTTTAGTTGGGCTGATATGATAATTTAGAATTTACCCTAACTTTCTTTTCCTTCTCCTTATTTATTAATAATGACAATTTATCTTATTAATGTGATTTTCACCATAGGATGAATTTCATCCAACCAAACTAGCATATGTTATGCAAAAGAAAAGGGATTCCTAAAATAATTTAGAGGCTAAAGGCCCCATAATTTTGAGTTCGACTCTAGTTGATGCAAATTCAAGTTTTTCTTTACTTGTTATGTGTTCAAATGGTCAAATGACTCAAATTTTGTATAGTATGTTTGAGTTGAAAGAAATAAAGTAGAGGGGAGGGGAGAAGGAAGAGGCTTTTAACCAATCAAATTATAATATTTTTAAAATATTGTAATCTAATTAATCAAAAAAATCTTTCTCTCTCCTCCATATATTCTTCTCAACCCAAATATACTAGTAACATTTTTAAAATACTATAATTTAATTAATTAAAAAATCTTTTTCTCTCTTATATTTCCCTTAACCCAAACATACTAGTATTGTTTTCTCATGTTGATTTTGTAGTTTGTAATGTACTAAAAAAAAAATATATCAAACGGGATTCTATACTCAACTCAATTATCCGGTCTACTTGTTTGGGCCTGTTGAACCGTTATGAAGCCCACCACATTATCAGTCTCTTTCTAATTTAGGAGGGTTCTGATTTGATGATGGAACCCCGGCAAGGCCCAATGTTTTACAAAGGCCGCTAAAGTGGCATGGCCCAAGAGTCCACAACGCTCCTTTTACGATTTTCACCAGCCGAATGTAAAGCCCAAAGTCTGACGTGGCATTGCAACCAAAGCTTCACTGCCGCAGACTCAACGGTCTGAATTCTCCTTCTCCCCTCCGACGGGCGACATCCTCATTTCCAAAACCCAACGGTCAAAAATCACGCTCTCCTCCGACGTGCGACGGTGAAAGCAGCCCTCTTCCCTCTTGTCCCCTCTCTTCAATTCCTCAACCTATGATCTCTCTGTCGCCGTTAGTCGTGGTAGGTTGCTTGATTCTTGGTTCGTAAATTAGGGTTTCGCCGACCTTTCTGTTTGATTTTCGAGTTTTCCTCCAATTTCTTTGAGCATCTGTTGATTAAATCTTTCATTTGCTATTTCTAATTTGATACTTTGCGCACATACACGAAAAAAAAAAAAAAAAAAAGAAGATGTTTTTCGTTTTCCCTTTTGATTTCAATACCTGGTGTCAGGGCAAATATTAGGGTTTTTGTTTGCAGTACTTCTCACAAATTTATGATACCTTACGGATTTGATTATGGGAATTTTTACGGGTTACTTTATTTCATGAACTTTGTATGGTAATCGATAGTGGAGCTCTGTTTCTGTGTTGTGGCTTATTATTTAACTTGTATTTAAGAAGTACTGCCTCTCTAGCCTTCTCGTGAAATCTATGGAATTTACATATCTCGGAATTCAGACCCTTTGTTAAGGGTTCTGCCGATCATTCAGCAACTTTTGCGTGGAAATAACTTGGGTCACAAAAAGGGATAATTTGAATACATTAGCATTTTCAGGTGAACAATGGCTAGTTTTAAGCTGTTGTGCTTACTATGTCACTGACTAGTGGCTGGAAGGTATGATTTATAGTCAAGCCAAGGACTCAAGGGCATTTATGTAAACTGCTTCTTGTCATTGTTTACGTAATGGGTCAAAAGGGAAAAGGTTGCCCTCTTCACTTTTGTTTTCAGGCCATCTAGCCGGAGATCCATTAGCCATTTCTTTAAGGAATATTCAATTAGTCAATCTGTTTTATTTGGTTCTGTTTTCTTATTTGATTACTTACTAATGGGTTCTATTGATTTGTGCAATTCACCAATCACCTTGCTTAAAGGAGAGATGATTTAAATGAAGCCGATTGGGACTTTCAGTCCAATAAGTTAATACTTAGCATCTCTTTTTTAGAAAGATAATCTGTCATCATGCTTGGATAATTCTGAGTTGTAGATTGTATTTTGTTTTGTTTTTAATTTACAATAACTCCTCACTTCACTACCACATGCTCAACACAGACGTAGTCAAGTCTTGGCATGCATGGTAATTAATGCTCCCACATTGCTTAACTAAGATTAACATTCCTTATCAAAAGACAAGAAAAGTATGACTTAA